TGGGGCACCCAGCGGGTGAGTTGGGACAGGTAGCCCATGAAAGAGCCTTTAATGAAAAATGTGTGACTCCTGAGGACAATGCCACGATTACAAATCAGAGAGGAAAAAGTGTACGGTACTAATGAGTATGAAGCCTGGGCCCTGATTGTCATGAGTCCAGATCCTGGCTGCTCTGTGTGACCTTTCAGGCAAGTTACTTAACTCCTCCTGGCCTTGGTCTTGTCATCTGCAAATAGGGTTAATAGCAATGTCTACTGTATCGGGTTATGATGACGATTAGGTAAGTTAATATTTGTAAAGCATGTAGATACTGCCTGATACAGAGTAAGTATCATAGAAGTTTTTGTTACAAAAATTCAAAAACACTTTCGATTGATCATGTTGTTGGTGCTTAGTAAAATTCAGTCTGAATGACGTGATCAAGATTGTCAGTAATTTCTTTCCCTGTTCTTAATTAGTGAAGTTGTTATTGTTGCTAGAATGCTGTTACTTCAAATTAGGGTAACTTTCTTTGCTGCATTGTTCCTAATCCAGAAAAACTGGAAACAACTTAGATGTTTCTTAGTGGGAGACTAGATAAATTGTGGCATATTCAGAAAATATGATAATATACAGTGTTTAAAATAAATGAGTTAGCTCTACATGAAACAATAGGGATACATTTCTAAAACAATGTTAAGCATAAAAAAACCCCTAGAAGAATGACATCTGTAGTGTATCCAATAAACTTCCTTTTAAAGTTTAAAAACATACCAAAGGAAGTTATATACTATTTTGGATACAAACATACTGTTTTGGATATAAACATAGGTAGAAAATGTATAACAAGAACAGAAACATGAAGGATCCACAACAATATCAAAACAGTGATTTGAGAAAGGAGGGAAGGGAATGAAATCTGGCAAGAGCAGAAAGGGAGCTTCAGTTTTATCGTTAACATTTTCTTCCTCAAAAAAATAAAAAACAAAAATAAAATTTCTGAAGCAAACATGGCAAAATGTTAACATCTATTAAATCAGGTTGGAGGAACCATGAGAGACTATGGACTCTGAGAAACAACTGAGGGTTTTAGAGGGGAGGGCAGTGGGGGGATGGGTTAGCCCGGTGATGGGTATTAAAGAGGGCATGTGCTGCATGGAGCACTGGGTGTTATACGAAAACAATGAATCGTGGATCACCACATCAAAAATTAATGATGTAATGTATGGTGATTAACATAATGAAATTTTTAAAAAATCAGGTTGGAGGTTACCTTATTATATTATTCTCTAATATTTGTATTTATATTTGAACATATTGATAATAAAAGTAATAATTAACAGAATGCATGTAAATGGCAAACTGTAATTCTAAAGTTTCCACCCATGGATTTTATTACACCTTCTAGTTAATTTAAAAAAAAAAAAGAATTTCAAAACATTAACATACCACCAATTGTGCTGGTGTTTCTTATGGATGACCCTATTTTATGAGATTTAGGGAGCGGTTTGGCACAAAGGCTGTAAAGAATGCATTTTCATTATTTTAGAAAGAATTTTAATGGCCTATTGTACATCAGTGTTAATGAGAGTCATGTAGATAAATCCCTAAGCGGTCCTTTTTAGGGCTGGATTTTTTGCTCAGCCAAAAATACAGAAGTGCTCTCTTGCCTTCCTGGATAATTCTGCTGTGCAAGAATATTGTATGTTTTCTGGTGCTTCAAATGAAACAATATGGAACAGTATGGAACATTTATTTAGGGTGTTTTGCTTTGCAGACTTTTTCAGGAGAACAAGAAGGCAACTAATCATTCCTTTGAATCTATGTAATGAATTACACTTTGAATATGTTATTGATTGGTAGAACAAACAGCACCATGACCCAGATTTTCAGTCTTACATCACTGAGATGTGGTTGGTATGCTCTGAGTTTGGCAATTCTCTGTTCATTGTGTAAATTAACTGGGACAATGACCTGTGACTGTAGAATTGCAGCTTTGCAGTTAAACATGCCATCGACCTTTTTATGTCCTATGTATAGTATGTCATGTGTAAAATGGTCACAAAATTAATTGTGTCAGATGTTGTCTACATTCTAACTGAAAAACAATTTTCATTGTCTGGAACATGAATGTTTATAGTAAATATATTTTGAGTACCTCAATTTCGATCTATTTAGCATTGCTGAGATTATTAAACATGAAAATTATTCATACATTCTGTGTTACTTATTGACCACTCACCATGTACTGCTGGATCCTAGCGATAAAGTGATGACCAAGGCAATGCCATTGTCGTCAAATTGTTAATAATCTAATGAGTAATAGAGTCAAGAAAATAGGTCATTATAATACAGTGAGATAAGTATTATATGTGGGATAAGCAAAGGGTATTAAAGAAGCACACTACAGGGAAATCCAGCGGTAGGAAGACCAAGGAAGGCTCCCTGGTGGTAGAGTCTATGCTGATCGTTCATTTGGAGACTGGAGGAAGAATAGTCCAAGCAGAGGAATCAACACGAAGAAAACCCCAGAGATAAGACAAGGAAAAGCATACTTTAGGCCAGATGTTCAGATGTTTCTTTGGTATTAAGAACCTTCACTACCTTGTGGTTATATCTCTTTGGAATTCCTAGCCCAGGTCATCCTGAGGATAACCACTGGACACCGACCATTTGAAAGTCATAAGTTTGATCCTCAGCCCAATGCCCACGCTCCACCTAAAGCCAATTACATCAGAATTTTGAGTGTCTGGTTCCAGACATTGAAATTTTTAAAAAATCTCTCAAGAAGATGTGAATATTCAGTCAGGTTGCAAATCACTAATTTACAAGATAAATCCTGAGAAGTGTGTTGATTGATCAAATGCATAGGCAGATAAGAAAGGTAGAAATGCTGTGCAAGGGCATTGCCAAAATGAGCTGGCTATAAAGAAATGACCTTGGGGATCACATCCACCAGCTATGAAGCTCAGTGCAAAACACTAAGAAGTGAGACTCATATTCTAGAGCTGACTCTTGACATATTCAGAGAAATAACACTTCACACTTTTTTCAGTTCAATTATTTGTCCATTCCAAAACACTTAGCTAATCCTTACTATACGTCAGTATGCTAAGGGCTATGGATACATATATGAGTAAGACATTGATGTCTTATCATCCCCAAACTCCCAGTTTAGTGAAGAGACAATTTCTAAGTAATCACATCATGTGAAAGGACTATACAGACTGGGTACACATTGCCCAGGGGCAGTGGCATCAAACAAAATGGTAGAGAATAGCTGAATTTTGAAGGATGAACAGGAATTAGCAATTCACTGAGTCAGAAAGATTTTTAGTGTACTTGGAGCAAAGTTTGTGAGAAGTATGGCACCCAAAATGAGGCTTGAAAACTGGGTTAGCTACCGAAGGTCCAGGGACCTCTCCCTCCTTGTTGCCAACTAGGCACAACCCAGACTCTGACATTCTCTATGTAGCTGGAAAGCTTTGTTTTACAAGTTTCCATAAGGTTGAAAAGGTCTTCACCTCATATCGTTGTCACTGGAATAAGACCAGTGGTAGAAATTAGGAGTTCAAAGTTCTGAGAGTGGCTCAGAGACAGGTGAGGATGTAGAGTCTGTTGAAGTTCTTGAGGATCAGCTCAAGCACGGCTATAATACTAAAGGTGTGTGTCACTGGGGTAGCCAACCTCTAAGATGACCTCCAATGATCTCTGCCTCCTGGTATTCACACCCTTACAAAATTCTCTTCCTTGAGGTGGGTTGAACTTCTTGACCCTCCCTTAAAGAAGACGATAGGGGAGAAGTCCCATTTCTGATAATAAGTTATTTAAAAAACCTGTACTTTCCCTCTCCCCTGCTTTCTTTCTCCCGTTCCCCCTTCTTTCTGTCTCATTGCTCATCCTGGGTGAAACCAACTGCCATATTTTCAGGGAGGCCCTTGTGGTAAGGAGTGAGGCCTGCCAGCAGCCATGCTGAGTAAGCTTAGAAGCAGATCCCTCCCCAGTCAGTCCTTCAGATGTGACTATATCCATGGCTGACAACTTGGCAGCAACTTCTGGAGACAGCTTGAATCAGAGACACTCAGTTAAGCTGTGTCCAGATTCTTGACCCACAAAACTAGGAGATAATAGATGTTTGTTGTTTTAAGCAGCAGTGTTTTAGGATAATTTGTCATGCAGCAATACATAATGAATACAGTCCCCATTCACTCACAGTTTCTGCAGATTCCATATCCTGTATGAAGACCTCACAGGTTGGCTCCAGAGAGCTATTATTATTAACAATCATGCTTTCCCTTTGAGAAATAAGGTTTCTTTCAGGCTTGAAATATGGGAAAATATGGATGAAAAACTAAAGGATTCAAAATCTGTTCTGATGCTATAAGCTTAAGAAGCCAGATGGTGAAGATTATGGTTTGGGGTAATATTCAGACCATGGTCCTACAGCTCTTGTCCATCTGAGAGTGACTCTCTACTTCCTTCCTTTTCCCATCACCCACACCCCACCAGAATATAATGTTCAAAGCATGTAACGTTCAAAGCTGAGCAAGCGCTCAGGATAGCATCTTGGAGTCTAACTGCAGATCGGCTGTCAAGCATAAGCCTTTGTCCATAGGCTACCCTCATTTCATTTCTTTCTATTTTACCACAATACTGAAGTTTAGAATGATTTGGACTTTGTGTGTGTTTATGCAGCCTTTCTAGCATACCTTTCCTTTTATTTTTACATGACGTACCTTTTTTTCTTCAAATGTTCATGAGAAAATGCCTTTCATGGTGAACTAAAAGCCTACCCAGTCTTATTCTGGCACAAAAACCAGTTTGAAAGGCCAAAGTCTGCAATGAAAACTATTAGCTAAGTAAAAACATGTCAGTCTCTGCCACAATTCAGTTGTTTAATTAAACATTTGTTAAGGAACAGTAAAAAATATACAGTACAACAATATTTTAGAATCCTTCTAAATACACAGTTTAGTATGTATTCAGAACCTAATCCATTTCTTCTCATCTTCATAACGCAGGAGAAGAAAACCTCCTGGCAATTTTACGACGAAGATGGTGGAAGTATATGATCCTGGGACTCATCGACCTGGAAGCAAATTACCTGGTGGTCAAGGCCTACCAGTACACGACTCTGACCAGTATCCAGGTACTAGCAGCTCTTCTGTCCTTCTCAACCTCCTCGGTGTCCAGATGTAATTTACTTTCAGTATAGTCACCTGGGAATCTAAATACTCCTCTGTAGGTTTTGCAACAAGAGGGAAATTGGGTGTTTAAAAATTAACTGGAGCTTTATTTCTATGTCTTACTAATTTTTCTTAATTCAGATGTAATTAGATGTCTTTTTCCTCTTTGTTCTTAATGGACCATAACAATTGACAATGTAGGAAAATATTTTCTAGCTATGAATACTACCAACTAATCTTATGTCAGTAAAAGAGTTAATAAGCATAAAAACAGAGCTATTTTAAGCACAACTTATAACATTTTAGAACATGTTAATGGACTTTGATTAATCAGTGCTTAATAATCTTTTCTTTTAGCTTCCTTTAATGAGGAGATTTTGCAATCTGAAGGGACGGAATTTTTCCTAAAAGAACAAGATACAAATTCCTAAATAGTGGTGTTATTCATGAAGATAACCACTCTGTCCTCTCTTTTTCTTTCATGCACATGCATGTGTATACACACACACACACACACACAATTGCAAGTTTAAACTTCGGTTTTCACAACTTTCACCAGACACCGCTTACATTCTTCATTACACCATAAATAATACACTTGACCATTTTGTTTCACACTCATTTCCCTTTTTATGACAATATTATGAATTTTACAGTCATTCCAAAGCTCTGGGATGAAAACAAAATATTATTCACATATATTATATCTTACTTAGACTAGATGCCACAACAACATTCCTGCCATTCAAATAATTAGCTTAGAAACAACAATAGCAAAAATGCAGAATCAAGCAAGCAAACCAACCACCTAAACATATTTAGATTACATATATTGAATGGGAACTTGTTTAAGCTGGAATGAGAAGGGGCTACAGGATTCTTCCTGTATGCCCAAGGAGAGACAGAAAGGATGGTTGTCTACCTACACCCATTGAAGAAAAGTCCAGAGCCCTATTCTAATTGGACCGCAATGACAGCAGGGGAATGCTGTGAGCTAATTGTCTTAAACTTGGACTCCCCAGCCCAATACAGGATGAGATTTCTGATTGGTTTAGACTCATGTTTTTCAGTAGGAGTACTACTGGCATTTTGGGGGGGATAATTTTTCATGATTTGGGTCCCTTTCCTGCATTATTGGTCATTTAATATTCTTAGCTCCTGTCCACTAAATGCTAATAGCATCTTTTTCAGCTTTGTAACAACTAAAAGTGTCCCTGTGGATTTCCAAATGCCCTCTGGCAGGGAGGTACCATCTCTGCTTGAGGGTTCCTGGCTCACCAGTCAGCACTCACTCGTGGAGTCAGGGTGGGATCAATCCCACCAGTCACCTGTCACCCACTGCAGGAGAGGAGAGGTGGATGGATGCTGGAAAATCAGCTGAGTGCCTCCACACTCAACTTCACTCCCACTCAGTTCAACGAGCCCCACAACAGAAACCGATACCTCTTCTGTGCTTCCATGGCACTTTATTTGTTAGCTCTGTCTACACAGTCTGTCTTACCTAAGAATGATGTTTCAATATTCCCACCTACACCACCCAACTGTGAGTGCTTTCACAACAAGGGTAATTTCTTGTTCACCTTCGAATCTCTAGTACCTACAAGAAAACCCAGCACATGCCAGGTACTCAATAAATGTTTAAAGAAGTTAATTCAGTTGCATTGATTTCCACTATTTGGGGGCACAGAAATTCCCAGCAGTTCTCTACCTAAATGTAGAGGCCTCCAGAATGTCTTTACAGATACGGTGGGAGAAGGAAGAGACAAATGTTAGCTTTGTGGCAGAACTGAGCCCATTAGCCCAGAGCCAAAAGCTATAAATGAGCCTGGGGAGAATGAGGAGGAGACTTTCCCCTTTGAAAATACAGTTGACTTTTTGTGGGTTTTTTTTTCCTTTAAGCATTGAAAAGTCACAACCAATTGTTGGTTTCTTAAAGTTCTATGGAGTTTTGAAAATTTTTTTTCAATTTTCCTTTTTTTTTTTTGAACAGTGGCAATTTATTCTTAACAACTGGTCCCCTGGTCTTCAGGTGTTTAGTTCAACCCATGTCATATCCCACCATCCTGATCCATCCTACTACCTCTCTCAGATTAGCTATTCAGTGCCTATCATAATGTTCCATTCTATGAAAAAGTTTAATTCTTTAGTGAGAAAGAAAAATAATAATTCTACTGGAATATCAGTTGGTCTTCATTGTAATTTACTGAGCAAGGAATAGTGGAAAGTAAAAAGCAAGTTGAATCTAACAATCTTAGAATTACTTTGCCACCTACAACAAATAAATCTATTAAATAAAAATAAATGGTCAGAACAGAAGGCATTTGCTCTGGGAACCATGTCTGTACTGCTGTTTAGTAATTTAATTTTGTTTACTCATTGCAAATCAGTATAACTAACAAGTGCCAATAATTTTTCCTTATTTCTATAAATATTAATTCAGCTTATAATATGTGCTTAGCTTTTACTCATATTAATCAATAAAGAAAATATATTAATTAAGCCTCTGAGAAATGAGCTAGTTATTGCAGGTGACATGAAAAGAAATGAATAAGCCTTGCCCTCCAGAAACATATGAATTGATAAAGAGCATAAGAGGCAAAAATCTATTGATAGCAATGCCAAGTATGGCGAGAGAACAGATGCCTAAGTGCAACAGTTTCCAAAGGAGGCAGAGATAATATTTCCAAAGACAAGACACTATCCATTCATATGAGTCTATAAGATTAGATAAAATGTAGAGAGGATAAAATGTGGGTATAGCTTTGCACAGGGGATGAAGAGCATGACAGAAGCATGGGGGCAGGAAACCCAATGAATATGACTGGAGAGCAATTATTCCAGTTTGATTCATCCAGTCACTTAAAAAATAATTACTGAAAAATTCTAACTTCAGGACATTTTGTTAAGTGGTGAACAAAGTTGCAAGCATAAATAGATACAAGCTGTATTCTCATGGAGCTTCTAGTCAAATAGGGAAAGCAGCATTTGGTCAAATAATCAAATGAATGGATGTATAGTTATAATGAGGGATAAATGTTGGCCACAGCAACTTCTTTCAAGACACATCTCTAAAGGCAAGGGAAACAAAAGCAAAAATGAACTTTTGGGACTTCATCAAGATAAAAAGCTTCTGCACAGCAAAGGAAACAGTCAACAAAACTAAGAGGCAATGGGAGAGGAATGGGAGAAGATATTTGCAAATGACATTACAAATAAAGGACTAGTATCCAAGATCTATAAAGAACTTATCAAACTCAATACCCAAAAAATAATAATCCAGTCAAGAAATGGGCAGAAGACACGAACAGACACTTCTCCAAAGAAGACATACAAATGGCTAACAGACACATGAAAAAATGTTCAACATCACTAGCCATCAGGGAAATGCAAATCAAAACCACAATGAGATACCACCTTACACCAGTTAGAATGACAAAAATTAACAAGACAGGAAACAACAAATGTTGGCAAGGATGTGGAGAAAGGGGAACCCTCTTACACTGTTGGTGGGAGTGCAAGCTGGTACAGCCACTTTGGAAAACAGTGTGGCAGTTCCTCAAAAAGTTAAAAATAGAGCTACCCTATGACCCAGCAATTGCACTACTAGGTGTTTACCCCAAAGATACAGATGTAGTGAAAAGAAGGGGCACATGCACCCTAAGGTTCATAACAGCAGTGTCCACAATAGCCGAACTATGGAAAGAGCTGAGATGTCCTTCAACAGATGAATGGATAAAGAAGATGTGGTTCATATATACAAAGGAATATTACTCAGCCATCAGAAAGGATGAATACCTACCATTTGCATCGAAATAGATGGAACTGGAGGGGTTATGGTAAGTGAAGGAAGTCAAGCAGAGAAAGACAATTATCATATGGTTTCACTCATATGTGGAACATAAGGAATAGTGCAGAGGACCACAGGGGAAGGGAGGGAAAACTGAATGGGAAGAAATCAGAGAGGGAGACAAGCTATGAGAGACTTGACTCCAGGAAACAAACCGAAGGTTACAGAAGGGAGGGGGGTGAGGGGTTGAGGTAACCAGGTGACGGGTATTAAGGAGGGCACATGTGATGAGCCCTGGTTGTTATATGCAATTAATGAACTGTTGAACACTACATCAAAAACTAATCATGTACCATATGTTGGCTAACTGAACATAATAATAAAAAATAAATAATAAAAATAAAAAAAATAAATAAATAAATAGGAGGAGTGGAAGGAGATCCAAGCAAAGAAGACAATATGTTCAAGGCCCTGAATGAGAAGGGCTGTGGCAAGGATGAGGTTGTAGACAAGTCATGTGACGGGCCTTAGAGAATGAAGAGTGGTACAAGATGGCCTGGAGAAGGAGGCAGGGGCCAGACACTATGAGTCTCAATGGCCAGATCAAGGGTTTGAGTCTTAAGGCTAAGTGCCATGGGAAGCCAAATTTGAATTTTAAAGAAAACTCAGGCCCTGGTGTAGAGAACATATTGAAGCAGTGGATTCTCTTAAAGGAATCAAGAAAGAGAGCTGAAGAGTTAAGTTGGGGCCATATTGTAGGAGGAAGATGTCAGTACAAAGAGTGTGACTTAATTTTATTGGTGAAAGAGAGCCATGAAAGTTTCTGAGGAAAGAAATGATAGGATGTGACCCAGTAACCCTTTTTCAAAGCACTTCTGTTTTCACAAGACAGTCTCCATTAATAGTTGGCACAGCACCAAATACTTTTGTTTCTTGATTCTTTTAAAAATAGAGACGTAAAGCAAAAAGATACGAAGAGCCTCTCCTTGCTTTCTCTTCCTGCCCTTTGCGTTCATTCACCAAACTTAGGGTTAAATGTCACAAACAACTGATACATGAAACTTGAGAGGAAAATATTTTTTCTTTTTTTTTGAAATATATATTTTTGAAATGATTATAGACTCACAGGGAATTGCAAAAATATGTAGAGTTCTTTGCATCATTTACACAGCTTTC